TCTTTAATTTCTTTTTGTATTTCCTCTTTGACCCAGGGATGGTGCAGTTGAGCATTATTCAATTTCCATGAGTTTGTAGGTTTTCTGCAATTTGTGTTGTTGTTGAATTCTAATTTTAAGGCATGGTGGTCTGATAAGATGCATGGAGTTATTCCAATTTTTTTGTAGCTGCTGAGGTTTGATATGTTGCCAAGTATGTGGTCGATTTTTGAGAAGGTTCCATGTGGTGGTGAGAAGAAGGTATATTCTTTTTTATGTGGATGAAATGTTCTATAGATATCTGTTAATCCCAGTTGGGTCATTACTTCTATTAGACCCTTTGCTTCTTTGTTGAGTTCCTGTCTGGTATTCTTGTCTAGTGGTGAGAGTGGTGTGTTGAAATCTCCCACTATAACTGTGTGGGGCTTTAGATGAGATTTAAGTTCTAATAATGTTACTTTAACGAATGTGGATGCCTTTGTATTGGGGGCACAGATGTTCAGGATAGACACTTCGTCTTGGTGGGTTTCACCTGTGATGAGTATGTAATGACCTCCTTCATCTCTTTTGATTGATTTTATTTTAAAGTCTAGTTTGTTAGATATTAGGATTGCTACCCCTGCTTGTTTCTTGGGTCCATTTGATTGAAAAATTTTTTCCCAACCTTTAACTCTCAAGTAATGTCTGTCTTTGAGGGTGAGGTGTGTTTCTTGTATGCAGCAGAAGGAAGGGTTCTGTCTTCGAATCCATTCTGCTAGTCTGTGTCTTTTTATGGGTGAGTTAAGGCCGTTAATATTGAGGGATATTAATGACCATTGATTGCTCATCCTTCTTCGATTTGCGATGGTTGTTGTTGGTGGAATTATGGGTGGAATTTCACCCCTTTGTTCTTTTGGCTGTTGGTAGAGAGGGATTCTCTAATGCTTATGTTTTTCTGGTTGTAGTTAACTTCCTTGGGTTGGAGTTTTCCTTCCAAAATTTTCTGTAGGGCTGGGTTAGTGGACACATATTGGTTGAATCTAGTTTTGTCATGGAATATCTTGTTTTCTCCGTCTATAGTGATTGAGAGCTTTGCCGGGTATAGTAGTCTGGGCTGGCATCCATGGTCTCTTAGTGTAGGTAGAATATCTATCCAGGACCTTCTGGCTTTCAGAGTTTCCATGGAGAAATCAGGTGTAATTCTGATAGGTCTGCCTTTATATGTTACTTGACCTTTTTCCTTAGCTGCTCTTAATATTCTTTCTTTATTCTGTATGTTTGGGGTCTTGATTATTATGTGGCGAGGGGATTTTTTTTTGTGGTCCACTCTATTTGGTGTTCTGTAGGCTTCTTGTACCTTCATTGGCATGTCTTTCTTAAGGTTGGGAAAGTTTTCTTCTATGATTTTGTTGAATATGCCTTCTGCCCCTTTGAGGTGGATTTCTTCTCCTTCTTCTATACCTATTATTCTTAGGTTTGGTCTTTTCATGGTGTCCCATAATTCCTGGATGTTTTGTGTTAAGGATTTGTTGGATTTAAGGTTTTCTTTGGTTGATAAATCCATTTCTCCTAATGTATCTTCAACACTTGAGATTCTCTCTTCCATCTCTTCTATTCTGTTGGTAATGCTTGTATTGGTAGTGCCTGACTGTTTGTCCAGCTTTTCTATTTTCTGCCTTTCTTCAGATTGTGTTTTTTTTAGTGTCTCTATTTCAGTTTTCAACCCTTGCAGCGTTTGCATTGCTTCTTGCAATTTTCTGTTTATCTGTTCGTCCGTTTGTTGCCTTTTATGAATTTTTTGGTTTGTTCTTTCTTCCATTTCTTGCATTTTTTGGTTTGCTTTTTGTTCCATTTCTTGGATTTTGTGCTTTGTTTCTTCTTCCATTTCCTGCCTTTTTTGGTTTGTTTCTTCCTCCATTTTTTTCATTTTTTGCTTTGTTTTTTCTACCATTTCTTGCATTTTTTGCTTTGTTTCTTCTTCCATTTCCTGCCTTATTTGGTATGTTTCTTCTTCTAATTCTTGCATTTTTTGCTTTGCTTTTTCTTCCATTTCTTGCATTTTTTGCTTCATTTCTTCTTCCATTTCGTGCCTTTTTTGGTTTGTTTTTTCTTCCAATTCTTGCATTTTTTGGTTTGTTTTTTCTTCCATTTCTTGCATTTTTTGGTTTGTTTTTTCTTCCATTTCTTTGAGGGATTTTCCAATATCCTCTTTTAGGGCCTCTATCATTTTCATGAAAGTGCTTTTAAGGTCGTTCTCTTCTGCTTCCTTCGCGTTGGAATATTGGGGTCTTGCTGGTGTGGAGTCTCTAGAATCTGGCGGTGTCATATTTGTTTTTCTGTTGCTGACTGTGTTTTTGTATTGTCTCTTTCCCATCTCTTCTTTTAGTGGGTGCAGAAAGAGCCCCTTCCTGGTCTGGGGACCAGAGTTCCCTTTTGGTGGGTGCTAGTAAGTCCAGTAATCTGGTGGTTCTTCTATGCCTTGTTCAAATGCTGGTCCGTGGGTAGAGAAGAAGAACAGGAATCTGGGGTGCTTAGCCTCCTACCTGGTCCCCTGGACCCTATGCTGGGTCCTGTTGTACCTGATCCGGAACAGCTACTCCCCTGGTCTCCCTGGCTCCTGTAGTTTCCTGGTCTCTTTGGTGGGAGAGAAGATCTGGAGTCTGGGGTGCTTGGCTCCCGCCGGGATTGGGAGCTCTGTGCAGTTCCCAGGCGATCTGCAGGCTCTGGAACACACACAGGCCGGGAAGCTGGCCTGTTTACCTGATGCTCCCGCCGGGATTGGGAGCTCTGTGCAGTTCCCAGGCGATCTGCAGGCTCTGGAACACAGGCCAGGAAGCTGGCCTGTTTACCTGATGATGCCAGAGGGACAGCTACTTCCCTGTACTCCCAGCCTCCTCTCCTTTCCTGGAATCGTTGGTGGGAGAGAAGATCTGGAGTCTGGGGTGCTTGGCTCCTGCCGGGATTGGGAGCTCTGTGCAGTTCCCAGGCGATCTGCAGGCTCTGGAACACAGGCCGGGAAGCTGGCCTGTTTACCTGATGCTCCTGCCGGGATTGGGAGCTCTGTGCAGTTCCCAGGCGATCTGCAGGCTCTTCAGCTCTTTTTCTTCTATCTTCCTTTGGAGCACTTTAAGACACTTGGTAAAATCAGTGTGGTCTTGGTCAGGAGTTGAAATAAGATCACAGCCCGGTGGGTAGCAGGGGCCGCAGCGGGGTAAAGGCACGCTCCATGGCGGGCTATGGGGTTTCTCACACAATGGCTAGTGGAGCCACGAGCGACGGATTGGCCGCTCGGAACTCGGCGCTAGGCTGCGGGCGTAAAGCTAAGTATTTAATGTAGAAAATTACTCACAAGATACCAAACCCAGAGGAGCCAAGCAGTTCTCAGCTAGCCGCCGGACCAGAAGCCGAACTCCAGGAAAAGAGAGAATAGAAACATTCTTTACAACACCCCAATTCTACAGCTAGAAAAGATCCAAAAAGACACAGATTCCCCTAGGATTCCAAAAGATTTCTTCTCTAAGGCAACCATACCCTTGCAGTAGTCTAATTCCTTCTTTTGAGCTACAGGCTTGATTTAATTACTTTCCTATGAATAGAATATATGACAGAGGTGATAAAAGACTGGGTTACAAAAAGACCCAAGGGAAAAATCAAGTAGTGCTATTATTTTATCATTGGTTTGCCCTTGGTGATACCCACATGACTAAGATGTGATCTACCCAGCTACATCCAGCAAGGTCTTGAGACTAGCCGACAACCGATTCAGAGTGACTCTCTAGTAGATGATTACTCCTTCCCTAAGATGAATTTAGCTCTTTCTGAATATTTTGAAGAAATAGGAGCTCCTGCACCACATAGGCCCACCCCCATCACCCTCAGATTCCTGATTTACAGAGAATTTGAGTTTGCAAATGACTTATGGAAAGAAGTTTCAGAGTAATTTGTAAAATTAAGCAGATAATTAAAATAGTCTCCAACAATCTAATTATAACCCTTAGTGGAAATCAAATTCCTATTTTTAATTTTTTAATGAATGTGGGCTATGATTACCTATAGTCACCCATTTATTCATCATTTCAATGTAATTGAAAGCCTTATCTACTAGATCCTGTTCTGAATACAAAAATCATAACAGGCATCCAGAGCCTATGATCTTACAGAGATTCCCAAATAAATAATAAACAAGATTGAAAGCTATCCTGAAAGTCATATAATGAAAAGAGCTATTGAGAAAACAAGTGAAGGAAGTAAGAGAGAGACAAAGCTATGTCAAAACATAAGTAGCAGGAGTTTTTTGTTTGTTTTTTGAGACAGTTTCTCTGTGTAGTCTTGGCTTTCCTGGAACATAGAGATCAGCCTACCTCTACCTCTGAGTGCTAAGATTAAAGGTATGGGCCATCACTGCCTGGAGACGTAGCAGTTTTTAGCAGGTTTACTCTGAAAACATGACGTGAGCAAAACCAAGAAGTTACGAGGAAGTGATTCATACAGAATCTAAAGTGCATCCCTTATGCACAAGAAAGAAACAAAAGCATCTAGATGCAAGAGGTAAAATGCCATTGCAACATCCAGAGCCACTTTTCCTATGTAAAAGTTTGGACTTCAGAGACAAATGAGTTTCTGGCTTTACAAGATGGGAGTGACAGAATGATAGCTTTAAGATAATCTTGATAGCTGAGTTTAAAAATGTATCATGGTGAAGGAAGGTGTCAGGCCAAGTTATAATAAACAGAAAAGCAAGGAGACAAATGAGAAAGTTTGAATATCAACACCAATGAAGTATGGTGGTGCAGACCAGAGTGGGAACGAGGAAGGGCAGGTCAAACTGGCCAGCTTCTGACAAAAGACTATTCACTGGATTCAACTAATGTCTAAGACCTATATGTATGAATGCCCACTACAATTAAGTCATTAAATCAGAAGAATTTATGCCTTTAAAATTCTACTTTTCAAATACATGGTATCCACATTGCCCAGTATCTACATCCACAGCTAGTGCATTACTTCCAGGAACTAAATGATAGTTCTTGATGACTTGTTAGTATTTTTAAATGAACTTTATTTCTCTTGTCATGCTATACTTAAGTGACAGAGCATTTCCATGACTAGTTTGCTTTGAGACATGTCTGCATTATGGTATCTGAGATAGTTAGTCATTATTCCACTCTCTGGGGGTAACTCTGCCAACAGGAGACAGGTTCCATTCTACCCCCATCTGTGTTATATAAATCACATATCCAACAAAACAGAAAGTGGATCCACCAATTAGCAGCATATTGCCATATTTGTCATGAAAATCTGATGAGGGCTTTGTGTGGCCCTGTCTTGCCACAACTTTCCGAATGCTTTGAATCTTGAGATGGTTTAGTGCATATCTGGCCAAGGGAAACATCACGACGTGTGATGCGATTGCTATTGATTGCAGCAATGGGTCTAGTTCCAGAGACCTAGAAGACAAAACATAACATGGCAATGATCTTTTATCTGTATTCAGTTCTTCCTTCATTTAAATGTTTCATCTACGGCCCTAGATAACCTAGAACAGTTGCCAAGGATTATGATGGTTCCAAATTTCTAGTGCAATCTTCTACCTTTTTTGAGACAAAGGTTTCTCGCTGCACCTCCTTATGGTTTCAAAAACATGATCATCACAACTGGTATTAGCTTCAAAAAAAAAAGGTTAATCTTTGTATTGAAATAATGTGACAAACTTAAATAATCTCTGGATGAACTCCAGTGATATTTTGTTTGTAATCTAACAAATAAAGCTTGTCTGATGCAGCAGACATAAGCCACTAGTTAGCCACAAGTACACTAAGCTAATAGTTAGCCACACACCTAAGCCACTAGTTACCTATAGAGGACAGGCTGTGGTGGCCACACCTTTAATTCCAGCACTTGGGAGACAGAGGCAGATGGATCTCTCCGTTCAAGGCCACTCTGGGATACACTAGAGTGAATCATTCTGAAAGAAAAATGCCAGAACTTGGTTGGTGGAAACAGGATTGATAAGGCTGGGTAGAGAGAGGAATATAAGGTGGGAGAAGACAGGAACTCATTGAAGTCTCAGTGAGTGTGAGGAGCAGTGCAGCTTGGAGATACAACCAGAGGACATGATATCACCTTCAGTCTGACCTTTGGTAGAGCTGAGAACTCTCTAGTGGCTGGGCTCTTTGCTTCTCTGGTCTTCAGTGTTAATCCCAATATTGTCTCTGTGTGCTGCATGAACAGTCTTTATTTTACAAATATGGTTTGGTTTTATGGTAGTATTAACCTTTAAACATACAGAGAATTAGTCTGCTTTTATGGTGACACCTAAGAGATTTTACAATAAAACAATTAAGATGATATACATAGCACTAACTGCCCAATTCTCCTTTATATTGATTCCATATATGATTGAGAAACATTCCTGTGCACAGGAAGAAATCATTGATCATCAGACAAAAATCTAGGGGCAAAACCAGATTTAACAGGTATGGTGATGTGTGGAGACACCAGACCTTGAGCAAAAACCCACTTCCCCTTCAGCCTGGGAGCAGGCAGCTGTGTAAAGTTTACTGAAAACAATTCAGTGCTATAAAGCTCTTGATAGGGCTCAGATAAGGGCTAGCTCACTGAGATACTATGACTTTCACACCCCCTACGGCTAGATGCTTCTTCCTGTCCCCCCTGCTGTGTCTCCCCGATTCTGGGGCCTGAGATTAAACCACCAGCCAGGAAGGTGAGAAGTCTGGAAAGAATTGTATGTAGATGGATGACAGAAATCCTTAAAAAGGGGAAGCGTTTTTTCTTGGAGAGACTTCTCCTGAGCGCTCTCTCCTAAGCGGACTGGGGTCTCCTCCTAAGCTGACTTGGGAAGCATAAAGTTTTTCTTAAAGCAACCGACTGGTCTCTGTCATCTATCCCGACCACCTTGCTACATTCTCAGATGCAGGCCGCACAGCAGGTGCGATAGTGATGTAGCTCAGTGTAGATCACCTAATGCCCCTTGCCTAGCACTGCAACATACATAGACACACAGACACACACATATACACACACAGACACACACATATGTACAGACACACACATATATATGTACATACATGAACACAGAGGCACACACAGAGACACACAGAAGAAATATATAGTCAAAACCACAGGTGAAAACATTAAACATTAGAAGTACTTATAACTATGGTTCTTAAAGAGGTAATAAGGATTTGAAGTACTAATAGAGAGAAAAAATAATTAAGGAATGCTAGCTCGCTAGGGAAATAAAATCTGACAGATTCATTTAATCAGTTGTTGCAATTAAATGGAAAATTATAATCTTTCAGCTTCTAGGGGAAGAGTTTTAGCTGAAATGCCTTTCCCACTCTTTTCCACCATCTCTCTGAGGAAGCAGACAGATCCCTGTCTGTTCTGTCTCTCTCACTGCTCTCTTTTTCTCTGTCTCTTTTTCTTCTCTCTTCCCTTCCTTTCTTCCCCCATACCCTTCCCAGTAAAACTTTCTTTTCGTGTTAAAAAAAATACCTGTCCCAGTTTAAATTCAGATACTCACACTAGCTTATAGCTGACCCCGTGGAATCAGAATCTAGGTGATGCAGGTACAGAATACAGAAAGAAAAGATTGTATATGAATGAGGTGCTTTGATTATGTGGACTTAGATACCTAATTGCAAGGGAACAAGATCCAGAAAGAATCTCAAGGGGAATGTATCATCTGGATAGCCCAATACTACCATCAGATTGCTCCCTAATTTGATATAATGATTTCTCTTTAAGGGTAGGAAATGTGATTTTTCTTTTCTTAAATGTCACAGTTATCACTCTCAAAGACATCAGCGTTATTTCATGTCGTGGGAATAAGTCATACCAGGTCTTCCCAATAAAAGTCTGATGCTTCATTTCAATGATGATATGCCTGTTGTGGAGTTATCTTACACATTTTAATATTTGTTGCAGCATCCCTGCCTTTAGCCACTAGATATCAGCAGTATCATCTTCCAGTGATGATGGCATTAAGATCTCTAGACATTGCCAAATGCACAAAATCGTCCCTGGTTGTTCTCTGCTGTTGAATATGGAAGAAAATGGGTTCTTGGAGCTTCAGTTTTGCTTTCACAGTGTTAGGGATTGAACATGGGACTCTGCATACTAAGCACGTCCCCAATCACCACACTATAACTACATTTTCAGTCACTCTTTTCACGTCTATGACCAAAAATCAAACATTTTATTTATTACAAATGCCGCTCAAGTTCTAAGAAAAAACATTCTTCCATGTCCCACCATGGGATGCAAACTCACTAGGAGCTGATCCTATCCTATGCAGTAAAATGTCAGCAACTCATTTAAATCTATCTCACTTCTGTTTTCTCTCAATAAAACAGATAAAATAATATTGAAAGTATTTAGGACTTTTTTTCTCAAACTTTTCAGATCCAAAGAGTCTCTGAAATCTTTGTTTTAAAATGGAAATTCCTGCCTGGCGGTGGTGGCGTACGCCTTTAATCCCAGCACTCAGGAGGCAGAGGCAGGCGGATCTCTGTGAGTTCGAGGCCAGGCTGGACCAACAGCCTCCAAAACAATACAGAGAAACCCTGTCTCGTAAAAAACAAAATAAAAATAAAAATAAATAAAATTGAAATTCCTATGTCCCATATCAAATGTAATAAAATATCTGGTTAACTGCCTAGGAATCTGAAGTAAGTTCTCTAGGGTGCTGTACCACTAGATGTGCTTATGGGACACAAAGACCAGCTACAGCATGCCTCCAGCTGTAAGTGTTCATGGACTTTCCAAGGAATGAATAATTCTAAGAAAAGTACTGTAGTAATTGAGCCCCTCACTCTGGTGAACTCGAAAGGGTTATCTGAGAGCCCTGAGTCATACAGACACCCAATGCAAACAGTTGGCCCATTTAATGTCATTAAGAGTACTAACTTAAATGACCGTCCCTGATAATGAGTTTCAGGACTACCTTATATGCCATCCTAGAACCTTCATCCTGTGGCTGATGGAAGCAGAGGCAGACACCCACAGATAAACATTGAACTGAACTCCTGGAACCCAGTGACAGAGAGGGAGGAATGATGCAGGGGGTAGGGGGGGAGGTGTCAAGACCTGGCTGGTGAAACCCACAGAGACAGCTGACCTGCACAAGAACACGCTCATGGAAACCAGACTGATGACTGGGAGGCCAGCATGAGACTGATCCAGGCCCCCTGAATGTGGTTGTCAGTATGAGGAGGCCTGGCCAATATATGGGGCCTTTGGCCGTAGATTGGTATTTAAGCCTGGCATACAAATGGACTTTGGGTACCCCCCCCTACAGTAAGGGATGCTCTCTCAGCCTGGACTTGTGGGAAAGGGCCTAGGCCCTGCCCTGAACAAAATGACAAACTCTGGATATCCCCATGGAGGACCTCACCCTCCCTGGGGAATGAAGGGTGGGGGGCTGGGGGGGAGAATGGGAGAGGCAGGGAAGGAGAGGAGGGAGAGGGAGCTGGGATTGACAGGTGCAGCAAACTTGTTGCTAATTTAAATAAAAAAAGATTTTGAAGTAAATTAAAATGAAATCTACAAAGAACTTAAAACAACAACAACAAAAAAAAGAGTAACTACCAATGCTGATGTTCGGTTGTATAACAATGACATATTTTCAAAGCTACGCTCTTGGACATTATTAAACTGAGGCATCTTTGTTTCCACCTGTCTTATTTCCAGTCTTCTTTTTCTTTTTAACAGCTTTAGAGTATCAATGCAGAATAAGAAACAATAAAAAGGTGATCTTCTTGAAATGAAAAATGCATATAACCTGTGGTGTCTTCAGTTCATTTATGTATGTGTCAGAGGACACAAGGAGGGAATCAAGTGTACACTATGCATAGTGTCTCCCATCATTACTACTTAAGCTTTCAGGCTTTTCTTAACAAGAAATAGGAGCACCCCGCAAGAAGAAAAAGTACCGGTGCAAATGTTGACCAATGGCTATATTTTATAATTAATGGCATCATATCCTGACTCACTGAATTGATGCATTTGCTTAAGGCTAAATTTTATGTCTCTTTATTAAGGTTAAAATGTTACATAAACGAATGCTACCTGCATAAAGAGAAAGGCAGGTTATCACACTGAATTGATAATCCTAGAAGAAGGAACAACAGAGATGAGAACACAAAAATCTTCTGGCGTGATATTCTCTAAGGCAAATGTTGCCTGATGATGATGGTTGTAAGATATGCACACTCTTGCATGTTCCCCCCCTCCCTTTTTGTTACTGAATGTCAATCAGGTCCAGTATTTCTTCAAAAAGGACATTATTTGTTGTTTGATAAATGTTTAAAAGATCCTGCTGTAAGTACTTGAAGCCATTCATGGAGCATAAAATTTCCAGTAAGAAATAGCAAGGGCCATGAAAATACAGTGTATCAACAAAGCTCTCAAATGTGCTAGTCTC